CGGGGGCGGCGCGGGGGGCGTGGGGGCCCCCAGCCAGTGTCGGTGTGGCAGGTCCTGTTCTCCTCCTACCTCAGCGAGACCCGCCGAGAGGAGCTCCTTGCCCAGCACCTGGCCGGCACCCTGGCTCTGCACGAGCTCATCACCATCCTCACCCAGGTCGTGGAGGAGACAGAGGAGAGGCTCAGCAAGGTGTCTTTCCCTGGGCTGAGGCGCCAGGTAACTGCGTCTGAGCTGCACACATCCGGCATCATAGACCCCGAGACCCTGCGTGGACTGGCACAGGGGACCAAGACCCCGCAGGAGGTGACGGAGATGGACTCGGTGAAGCGCTACCTGGAGGGCACCAGCTGCATTGCGGGTGTCCTGGTGCCGGTGCAGGGAGAGCCTGGCCGGCAGGAGAAGATGAGCATCTACCAGGCCATGTGGAAGGGCGTGCTGAGGCCCGGCACAGCCCTGGTGCTGCTGGAGGCGCAGGCGGCCACGGGCTTCATCATCGACCCGGTGCACAACCGCAGGCTGTCTGTGGAGGAGGCCGTGGCGGCGGGCGTGGTGGGTGGCGAGGTCCAAGAGAAGCTGCTGTCTGCTGAGCGGGCAGTCACCGGCTACACGGACCCCTACACCGGGGAGCAGATCTCCCTCTTCCAGGCCATGCAGAGGGACCTCATCGTCAAGGACCACGGCATCCGGCTGCTGGAGGCCCAGATTGCCACGGGCGGGGTCATCGACCCCGCGCACAGCCACCGTGTGCCCGTGGACGTGGCCTACCAACGTGGCTACTTTGACGAGGAGATGAACGGCATCTTGGCCGATCCCGGTGACGACACCAAGGGCTTCTTCGACCCCAACACGCACGAGAACCTCACCTACCTCCAGCTTTTGCAGAGAGCCACTCGTGATCCTGAGACTGGATTGTTGTTTCTCTCTCTGTCTAAACGCTGATTTTTTTCATGTTATGCTGTGAAAGTTTCTACAGGGCTTCCAGTGTCTTTGTTTTGATATTCATTGTCTTTGTTTACTGTGAACTTGTCTTTATCAGGGTTCAATATTTGTGTATGGCTATTTTTTTCTATCTTGCCTGCTCTTTTTGGGCAGAGTTTTACCATGAGTCCTCCCTTTTTCTTTCTTTTTTTTCTCTCTCTCTCTTGAAATTCCTCATGTTGCTTCTTATACTATTTTTGTTTTTGTTTTGGACTTGGAAGGAGTTGTCTTTTTATGTCGGCTCTCAGTTTATTTTAGACAGTACCATGATTACTCACTCTGGTGTCCACACTGCTCCTAAAGCCTCTGGTGATCTTCTGTTTTTGGTCTCCTAAGTACTAGATTGTAGTTCTAAGCCACCATGCTTGGCAAAGTTCTTTTTTGTTTGTTTGTTTATTTTTTTTGTTTTTGTTTTTGGAGCCAGGGTTTCTCTGTGGCTTTGGAGACTGTCCTTGAACTAGCTCTTGTAGACCAGGCTGATCTCTAAT